ATAGGGATATTGTCCTGTCACCGACAGCATTGTAGTTCAGGCTGGATCTTGAAACATTCTTTGTGATGATGAATGCCATGCCATTCCTCTTCAATTTGTTATTCCCGGGTTAGTAGATCATATAGTTGTCTGATTCAGAATGTTCCAAACCAGTCCATTTGACCTCACTAATGCCTAGGATATCAATCTTTATGTGTTCTATTTTGTTTTTGACAACTTCCAATTTTCCTAGTTTCATGCTTAATATATTCCATGTTCCAGTTATTAATGGATATTTGCAGCAGTTTCTTCTCATGTTGAGTTGTGCCACATCAGCAAATGGAGGTCCTGAAAGCTTTACTCCATCCACATCATTAAGGTCGCTGTACTCAGGGGGCAGCTCTTCCCCAGTTGTATTTTGAGCACCTTAACCTGAGGGGCTCATCTTCTGGCACTGTATGGACAATGTTTCAGGGCTATTCATAAAGTTTTCTAGTAATACATAAGACAGTGTTTCACTGTTGTTCATAAGGTTTTCACTGGCCAGTTCTTTGAGAGGTGAATGGCCCCTTCCTTTTTTCCAGTCTCTCTTTGGAAGTTCTGCTGAAACCTGTCCACCATGGGCAACTCTGCTGGTATTTGATACAACAGTGGCAAAGCCTCCAGCCTCACAGCCACACGCAAGCCACCACAGCGTGACACGCTGACAGGCGAGTGGTGGCTGAGAAGTTTTAGTACAATTCAAAATCGCCTTCCCTAGGTTACTCGTATTTCCACCAGGGCGGTGTGACAACTCTAGCCGGCTGGGAGTTTTGGCATCGAAGAACACCGGCCAGTTGGTGGGAGAGGACGTGCCTGGCTTCCGAGTGTAGTTGCATCTTAGTGGGTCCTCACTGGGCAGCCATTTGCTTCTGGCAGCTGCAGTTTGCTGCCTCCTTTGTAGGTACAGAGGCAGGAGCTGTGACGCAGGACCACACCTTGTCCTTGATGAGGTCTGGGCTGAGGGTCCACAGCTGGATTCAGACTCCAGCTACCGATGCAGAGTGAGAGGTCACAGTCTTCAGGCATTATTTGTAGCGAAGTCCATGCACATGCCTGTGCCCACATGCTGGGAACCCCTTGAGGTGCACAGTGGGAGTAGGGGCTGGGGAGCAGGCTGCCCACTGCCAGCGGCTCCTGGGGTCCATGTGGCCTTACCCTAGGGTCTGGGCTGACTCTTGGGGATCCAGGAGCTGAGGGCAGCAGGCCAGTTTCCACACAGTCAGCAGGTCCAATGCAGATACTCGGAGTTAAGAGAATTTCAAAGCCAGCAGCCAAATAATATGACTTTTTTCTTCCAGTTGTGATTTGGGTGAAAGTTTACAGAGCAAATTCATTTTGTATATAGCAGTTCATACACATTTTGTTTTGTTACATTGATTGCAGTTCCCCACAGTGTAACAGCTCTCTTCCCACTCCCTCCCTGTGGTTACCTTTTTTCTGTGTTCTTTCCTATGCATTCCTGCCTGCTCAGCTATCTCCCTGTGCAAATACTGCCCTTCTGATCTCCCATGATTGAGTGTTCTAAGGAGTACACCTACCTGGGGTAAATGTTCACCTTGTACCCCTGTCTGATGTTTGGCTGGAAGCCACAAGAGTGAGTTCAGTTCCAGGCCTGAAGAGTCACTAGGGGCTGCTGGGTTTTTTTTCTGATCTGTCTCAGACCAGGTCTTTCAGCCTTGTCATTTTTATAACTTGGAGTCTTGTTACACACTTTTCTCCCACTCTGTCCACAATCTCCTATTTTGGTCCCTTTCACAGTCGTTGGCAGTGGTAGCTGGGCACCATCTAGTTCTTCTGGTCTCAGGGTCAGGTAGGCTGAGGTTCACATGGTCCGCTAGCCCCTCAGACTAACTGTTTTCATGCGTCTTTGGTTGTCTTCATTCTTCTTTGCTCTGGACAAAGAGAGACTAGTTGTTGGATTTTCAATGGCCGCTTGCAAGCTTTTAAGACCCCAGTCACTACTCACCAAAGTAGGATGTGGGACAATGTTTTTGTATTGTATATTATGCCAGTTGGGGTTGATGTCCCCCATGACCATGGTCCTATGTCCACAGGTCCAACAGCTCATTCTCAGGGTGGTTGGCTGTGGCTAAGAAGTTACCATAATTTTGCCATTAGATGGACATTTTTACAGGACATATAAATATGTATGTAGAAACAGTGTTTGCCCAACTGACATGGTCGTGGGTATGTTCCCTTTTGCCTAGACATACCTGGTCACTCAGCCTGTGTACCCACATGTAGATTGGTGTTTGTTATCACGGATGGTGCAGTACTGTGTGTGTAAAAATGCTGTGTGTGTAAAAGTACTGTGTGTGTGAAAGGGTTTTCTCTTTGTTGTCTGTCCCTCTTGCGCACCTCTCTGTGTCTTCCTTTTCCTCTGTGTTACTGTGTTGCTCACTCACTTTTGGTATATTACCTTTTCCTTCACCCAAATCAACACTTGCCTCTCCCTATCTAACAATTTTTCCTCCCCTCCCCTCCTCTCCCATCCCTGGTAACCAACAAAGTGTCATTCCATGGATAAACCTTTCTTGGCTTTTTGCAATGGTGGACTAAAGCACTATGTGTCCTTCTGTGGTTGACTTATTTCACTCAGCATAATGCCCTCCAGATTTCATTCATGTTATGAGATGTTCTGCAGATTCTGCCTTCTTTAGGGTTGCATAGTATTCCATTGTGAGTATGTACCACAGTTTGGTTATCGTTCTTCTGTTGACAGGCACTTCGGTTGTCTCCATCTCTTTGCTGTTGTGCATAGTGCTGTGTTGTGATTTTGGAGTGCCTTCGCAGGCTAATGCCGGCAGGTTCTCAGGCCGTGTGTTCTCTCCTGACTCCAGGTCCTGAACGAAGCCGTGGGAGCCCTGATGTACCACACCATCACCTTAACAAGAGAGGACCTGGAGAAGTTCAAAGCCCTCCGCATCATCGTGCGCATCGGCAGTGGTTTTGACAACATCGACATCAAGTCGGCCGGGGATTTAGGTGGGAAGGGTGTTCTGATTCTTCTCTGCTTTGAACCTTTTACCTCCTGATTCCTGGGTGTGAACCCTGCTGCAGGACCCCAGTTGGGGCTGAAGGTGACATTTCCAAGCCTGGGCATCAGTGAGGCGGGTGTGTCTGAGACCCTGTGTCGCTCGCCCTGTAGGGCGGGTCCTGGGCTCACGCAGCTTGCTAGGGTGCCCTATTCCCCTACCTTAAGCAGGCCCCACTCCTGTCCCTTTATTGTCACAGGACCACGTCCACTTGACAGCCAGCTGTGAGCAGGGCTCCAGGGGCGTGAGGGGTGGGCGTGTCCACCCAGGCAGGCGGTTGGCCATTCCACAGATCACAGTAGGATGTATGGAGTGTGTTTGACCTGGTGTGCGTGCACACAAGCAGACACACACGCGTGTGCCTGGACATGTGTGCCTGAGACAAACGTGGCGAAGTGTGGCTCCCCCACGTTGTGCCGAGTGCCGTCCCTGCTGTCCAACGTTCTGTTTCATTTCTTTCTGTTCTTTCTTTTTAACGCTGCCCGTAACTCAGTAAATGATGTCCTGATCCATTCACACCTCAGAGCCCACAGTTGGGGACGCTGACTCTAGCATCAGGCTCTGCTGCTTTGTCTCTGGGTTGTGGCTTCAGAAATTACAAAACCAAAATGACTACGTGCTGTGTCAGCGGGGAACGCAGGACAGTGGCCTGGAGCGAGCGGCTTGTACCCAGTGCCAGCCCTCTGGTCTGGAGCCCTGATTGCCTCCCCACTCTTACTCTGCTGTGACCCCTGACCTCAGGCAGGTTCTGGGTACTGGGTTGGAGTTGGGCCCCAGGAAGGCACCTGCAGGGTCTGGGCTGGGACCTAGAGTGAGTCTCAGCCTACTGAGGTGGGGTGTCCTCTAGGACACTGTCCCTCTTGTGATTCCACAGGTCAGGGCTCTATCCTTCAGCCCAAGGGCAGTGTGGAGCGGTCCCTCTGGGCCTGGCCTCACACATGGCAGTTTGTGTCCTGAACCCTGTGAGGTACCCACCATGTCCACGTGTTTCTCTCCTGGGTCTGCGTTTGGTGACACAAGTTGTTTCTAGTGCCTAAGGCATCTG